TATTTAATATTTAAGTTATTTATGTAGTTTAAAGAAATTCGTAGCAGCCTAAAATGTGTGCAGATAATTAATTAAACCAGCAATGCTGTGGTTTCTTTCGCTTGATGGTAAAGAATTAATTAAACAAAGAAATTTTAAATTCAATATCAAATGGATCATCGTGCAAGCGCCTGCCACATACACACTTGTAGATCTGATCGCGGTGAATCTGGTGTCATTGCCCAGCACTCGGCTCTGCCGTCGGCTCGTATAGTTTGACAAAAGGAAGTGCACGGAACAATCCCCACAAAGTGCGTGTGAGACCCAAGTTCTTACCTTGTCCATGTATGTCGGCCACGGCGGAGGCGAGGACCAAAACCGCGAAGAGGGTCTTCAATTGACAGTCTTGTCTCATACACATGTCTACTAAAGTGGAGGTCGCTCTTCGCGTAGCTACAGAACACGTCCTTGTGTTGGGAAAGAATACTTCCAGGGCTTAAGAAAAAAACAAGGAAAGCGAGAAATTCAAGCGTGCGCAAAACATAAACTGAGCCGCGCGATTCGCCGTGGCACTTCCGCTGTAATTCGCAGCGCGAAGATAGTCGAGAATGATCAAGTGAAATGCGGAGGTCCCTTTTTAATTCGGACGCTCAGTAAGCGGATTCCTGTCTCTGTCTGTGAGCAGTCGGCACATGGAGAGACGAGGCAGCGAGCCGAGGCTTCAGCACCGCGGACAGCTCCTAGCGTCGGCTGAGGGAACAGCCTCCTCGAAGTTAGTTGTGGGAGTTCAAATGCTGTGCTCTCTGCATGTCCTTTACATCCTCCGAGTTATTTTTAAGAGTGCAGTCATCGTTTACATATTTTTCTTTTTAACCATTTATCTCAATTATTTCCATCAACAGTCAGAATCAGATTCAAATCTACAGAATATTAGATTATTCGATTTTTTTTTTTTTTAGGTTTACCAATCTAGTGCGGCTGGTGTGGCTCGCTTATAATATGCACCAACAAACTGTGTGCTCATATGTTTTATACTTATCTATTTTGTTGTATTCTCCTTGATATCCTTTACTTAAACACCATGAGACTCATTGAGACCAGCTGTTCAAGACAGACACGTGCACAAGAGAACATATTCAGTATGAGCATGGTCAATAAACACACAGTCACAATAAACACGGTTTTACACATTCAAAAAAAAACAACATTTACAAGTCGCACTCGAAGTGCTTGAGAATAATATTTGAAGATGTCAACTTCAAAACTGTATATATTTTTTTCCAAAGCTCTGTTTGAGCATACGATATGAATAAAGTCAAAATCCTAAAGCACCAGCATCACAATAAAAGTGTTTAGGCTGCTGTAGATGTGAGCAGATAATATGTAGATTTGTTTTGTTGGGGGGGGGGGGCTTAATACATAATGTACAGAGAAACTCATTTGTCAAGAGGACCAGCCCGGCTGTTCATAAGGTGAGTGAGTAGTTTATCATTTGTAATAAAGTGCACTGGAGGGAGGGAGAGGCATGCATGTGTACAAAATCCCCATAAAAGACAGAATGCTAGATTCCGACTAGTAGAAGAAAAACACGATTTTTTTTAATATTCAGCAATTACATTTTTTCCAGTCAGGAGTTCCGCATCATGAAGTGAATCTGTTATCCAGCCAGACATTTTTGTAATATTTGTATTCATTTGACTGCCACTGCCCATAGATTGCATTACTTTTAAGTTCTGATCCTACATCCTCACCATTCTGCCAATGAGTCAGGACAGCAGCTTCTTCTTTTTTCTTTTCTTTTTTGAGACCCATACCCAGTAAAGCTCAGACCCTGCTGTGCATGACTAACCCTGAGGTGAGACGGTCCTCGGGTGCTGGAAATAATCATACCATGCGCTGAGTCTCTTTTTTTATGTCCCTTTTCGAGTTTTGGTGTACGTTTCAGGGCCGTATCTATTTACCGGTGATGCCTGTCTGCCCAGTGCTTGCAGGAAAGCTCTACTTTAATGAATAAAGTGGGGTTCCTAAATTGGTTACTGCGGACAGAGCACAACCAGTAAATACAGTATTTGGTAAGTGTAGCGGGGAGAGGCAAAACTGTGACAAATTATTTGTATTAGTCTCGCGTGTAGGCAGACAGTTGCCTAACCGAAGCAACGAGCAAGACGTCAAACTCCTACAAGCCCTGAGGGTTGCTGTTGTGTGGTTGACCTCTGACCTCCCTGTGGAGACGAAGCAAGTGAAAAGATCAATACATTATTACGTCACTGTTCTTGTCTTTCATCAGAAGAATGTGAGTCATTATAGATGCTCTTAGCCTGCAAAGTAGTTGCTACAAACTATGCTTTAATTCATTAATAGCCTGGGTATGACAAAAGTGATTATTTGGAAATAACTAGTCTTATAAGTTGTTCCGAATATGCTCTGCCCTTATGACACCAAAACGTATTAGGCATAGTAGATACTATCTACTATCATTATACCCCCTTTAGTTATGTAGGTCTAGCCTGTTATATCAAGAGGCTTATTATAGCCAGTAAAATAATGATTATGTGTAAGGTTCATCCAGTCACTAACTTCTACAGAAGTGATGCATGAACAGTAATGGTTGAACAGAAACAAGCAACAAAATATTATTACTTTTCCAAAATGGCTTGGAGAATTTTCCGTGCTGTTGTGATGCACCCTGTCACCCGAACAGAGGAAGATACAGCAGGTTGACGAGCGTTTTACAACGCAGTCTGTTGTGCGAGACGAGAGCAAAATAAAAGCAATTAGAAGGCAAGAATAGAGATGGGGATGGGGACGGGGAATAAAAGCACTAGGAGAGAACCAGGCATCATTGACGACTCTAAAGTAGTACGTGTAAGCAGAAACAAAAAGAACAAGACCGCTCATTCTAAAAGTAAAAAGTGTGCAGTGGAGCAGTCAGCCCGTCTGAGGTCCATATGTGCAGTATCCCGTTATGATCCCTAAGTGTGATGCGTTATCGCCAATCGATGGATGAATCTTCCTTCTTTGTGTCAATCAAGACTCGGCTGCCTTTTAGAAATCTTATATCAGAAATTGCATTGTCATTGCACACACACACTTGTTGTACTCTCCTTTTTAATTCTCTCTTTTTCATGTTGACTTTTCTTTCAGGCTCTATTTGACTTTGTCTCACTTTGCCTCCCTCTGTCTCCTCTATCACTGCGCCAACGTGTCTCTTTTTCTTCTAAATTTATCCCCAAGCACGGGACACTCCTCGCATCACTCCCGTCTCTCCCTCTGGCCTGACTCAGAAGAGGCTTTAATAGTGCAACTTTCCCTTTAGTGAAGCTCGGTGGAGCCATAAAGCAGCCCTGAGGTCTAGTTGGCAGCCAGATGGTTCCAGCAGAGCTTTCATTCTGCTAATGGGGTAGGGGGGCAGAGCAGTTAATGAAAATCAGACCCTTGAAATGAAATGACCAATGTACCAAGGTAATGAGGCACACGTCGGCAGCAAGCCTTTACATGCATTAGGGTAATCTTAGATGGCAGGATTATGTAAAAAGCATCTTATGATGACTGTTCATTAGATGGCTAAGGACTGACTGATTATTTCACGGCATGCTCAGCTAACAAACACACTCCCACTGACTCAAAGCACTGTCTGCGATATTCAGACTGACTGGGCCTGGCTAAGTGCTTCATCAAAGCAAGGCTGTGTGCCAAACGCCATCAATGAGTCCCTGCCCACGTAGCATTACAACCTACAAATTACAGCCCACATTACAGTCACTGGCGGCAACAATATCACAGTCACAGGACTCACAAATGCACACGGGGCTAATCACCGCGCGTTACATTCACAGTGCAGAACCGTGATCCCTTTCAGCCAACAGTCGCAATCACAGCACCGCCCCAAAATCAGTTCACAGTTATTTACTGCTATTTGTCTCGTATTAGGCTGTGCCAATCAGACGTCGGCTGCTGGAGGGGAGGAAAATGTGAGAGATTCAGGGTTTGAAACTGAGGGATTATATCAGAGTTTGTTGTAGAAAATGATATACGTATACCTGACTCACTACTGTTAGTTGTAGCTTAGACCTTATCTGATGCAACTCAATGCAGCTTTAGCCTAGACTTTGAAATTGATTGTTTTTATTTTTCCTTTTGTAGGAGTTTTAGAAAAATATCTGTCATTACTGCTGACGTTCTACCAACAGTCTTAAGTATATAACGAGAGTAAACAGCCAGAGAAGTCTGATCATAGAAACACAGAACAGCAAAGAATCTCTAATAGTATTGATTCCCTCCAAGAGGTTCATTTAACGATTGCTGCAATGTGTATTTTAAATTTTTCAAAGCAAATTTCTACATGAAAACAACATTCAAAGAAACAAGTTACACATTCTTCACAATAGCAAAATGATTGTTTTCATATATTTCCACATACACACCAGAAGCCAATTCCTTTTAAATGTTGACATTGTTGGATGTTGATTTAGTGTGATGACAAGACTTAAGTGTAATCTTTTTTTGTTTTTGTTTTGTTTTTATAATTAGATTTTAATGACACATTCTGTGAAATCAGACAGAACGGGATAAACAGAATGGAGAGTTTAATCCATATCCCTAATGACGAGAGACAGACTAACAAAGGGTTGACTCATTCTGTTCACTCGTATGCTTCTCATCTCCGCCGGATCCGACGGTTCAAAGTTAAAACATTCTGTATTCATAGTATTTACGTGTTTAATAGGCAACATAGGCAAAATGCTGATGATGCCCAATGTGGAAATTAACCAAATTCCTTTTGCTCCGAGCCCTGAAGATGCTGTTTCTTAAAGACCAGAGTATTGCTGGCCCAGTAATTACTGTTTACCTTCGCAAAAGATTACATGTTACACAGTCGGTATGACCAGTAGAATCAATAAATACATAAACATTCCTGAATATGAAAAGATTAAAAAAACAAATTAACTAGATACTGTAAATAAATGTGAAGCACAATGCCATATGGACGTTAGCTGTCTATAACTGACCAAATCAGTCATTTCTTGTTTCTGTGATCAGGTTATGCTCTTGCCATTACTGATATACACTATGATGCCTACTATGTGCATGTCCTTTTGTGAGTCTGCAATACTGTTGATGCTCCTCAATTGAAAAAAAAAATGAAATTTATTACAGGAGAATATATGTAATAGATCTATAGACAATTTCTCGTTTCCTGATCTAACAGCCACAGTGAGAAGCCATGGATATTGTGTGTTTTCTTTAATGTATTGCTTTGTATTGTCGTCTTCTCCACTCCATGTCCTGGTCCTTGCTCCCACAATGACCCAATTTCCCTATAAATATCAAGTGTTATCTTAACTCGCCCATGCCTGCGTAGCATAAATAGTTCAGTGCAGTTCGTAGCATCGTGCTGTCTTCCTCCCTCTCCCCCCTCCCCCTTTGTTGTGCACTTCCTCCTGGTAGAGCCCAGTTAATTGCACACTCCTCATTACCACGCATTGGAAAAGAGCTCCCTCTGAGCAAGTCAACTGCACAGTAGACAGTTTTTCAAAAGCTCTCTGTACGCATCCATTTTCTGCATGAGAAAAAAGGGAACGGAGGTTGGGGGAGGGGGGGGGGGGGGAATTCATGCTCCAACTGGCCTTTGACCTGAAGTTATGAATTTCACAAACTGCTTCGTAGGATTTGTATCCATTGTGTACTGTGCAAGAGTGTTTGGAGACTCTCTGTAGCGGGAAACATTCCCCTTAGCTGCCCGACTTGTGCGCGAGCATGTTGTTGTG